TATTCTATTCTATTCTATTCTATTCTATTCTATTCTATTCTATTCTATTCTATTCTATTAAGTAATCCTGGGGAAGTCTGTCATAACTTCGAGCAGTCACTACATGAAGAGTGAGCACATTTATTTAATATGTTAAAGAAAATGGATTTTATTGAAAATAGGGGATCCAAGCAATTTTCAGAATCTCATTCTTTTTGATCCTTTATGTTTCATAAAAACCAGTTCCAAATATAAATACCGGATGGTCCATCAGAAGGTCAATAGGTATTGAATTGATGTGTGCAGCAATTAATTTTATTATGTATAATTTTACATCTCACACATGCAAAAAGAGGTAGAGCTTTAATTGCTCCAGGTGCCCCCCCCCCCCCCCCATTTTGACACTGTTAGTCTTCTTCTGTAGACAGCCCTTTATAGATACTGGGAGCATGAAAGATGTTGCTAACCATCTTTGTCTTTATGCAGAAGAGCTGAAAGAGAAGCTAAAAGAATATGTTGATGAATTGAACATACGGAAACCAGGGTTCATTAAGATGGTCCGCCACAGCAAGCAAGAGGGGCTGATTCGATCTCGTGTTAGTGGTTGGAGGGCAGCTACTGCTCCAGTAGTTGCACTCTTTGATGCACACGTAGAATTCAACGTCGGCTGGTACGTCTTGCTGCTTCTAGATCTGTGTCATTTCTTGTGGACTTGTAATTAAAAAGTGCTGCAGGCTGCAACATGAGAAAAATATTCTAATTGTGTATGGAGTAATGATACTGGGTAAATTGGTTTAAATGTTAGTGGACAAAGTCCTTTTGATTGTCAGTTATGTTAAATTTTAGTGGATTTTTAGTGTTAAAAATCCGCTGTCAATAGGCCATAGGTTTCAGTGCAGTATTAATGTAAGTAAAAACTAAATTTGAAGACTCCATAATTTTGATGTGTTGAAAACAATGTTTTTATTCATGAAGAATAAGAAGACTTCAGCCTTTAAGAAATGACTGTGTTGACATTTGGTTTAATCAAAATCGCATTATATTATGACATCATTTAACTTTCTACATTTTCACCAATTGGATGGTATCATGTGGCCAGAAGTAATATTAAACATATAGACACATATAGACAGATCTAAAGGACAGATATATCCAAGGCCACAGTTATGAGAGCTACAAATACGCTGAAGTAAGAAACACACAGAAAAATCAGAATACCTAAGCAAGTGAAGGATGTGAATATAATTTCCAATATTAACTTAGTTTAAGAAGTAAACATATAGATGTTTAAAGTGCAGCACTGTCATATGTGTACATCTCCACTAATAGTAGAGCAACTAATTACAGTAGATGAAATCTAGTGCAAATGTAAAAGTTCAGACTTTTAAATAATTAATTGTAACATTACCTAGCCAGATGGTAAGTCCAGTGTTGCAGACTTTCTCTGCAGTATTTTGGATTGAAATTCCCATTAGGAACATGGTAAATAACATTAGGAGAATTTTCATCCCAAGGGGCATTATAAGAGTTGCAATCCAAAACACTTGGAGCATTCTCACTTTTACTTCTAAATACTTCTGTAAAATAGAACCAGTCTCAATACAGTGATGAAGAATATTTTGGAACATTTAGAATGCTGAAGCATCTGTTCTAAGGCTTATTTGACTGATAAAATTCAAACAAATGTACACTAGCGATTCAAGGAATTACTATGTGTGGGCTATTCTATTAATGCTCTCCATTTTCACTTCCATCCAATGCCTGAGAGAACTATAAAAGATCATTGTTCTTCAGGCATTAAATTGAACTTCAGTTGAATTGAAAAGACAATGGCCAGAGGTATTTTAACCTGAGGGTTCATGAACTTTCTGAATTGCTTCTCTGCACAATTTGAACTGCCTTATTCAGAAGAACATTTTTCATCTTGCATGGGAAACTATGCAAGATCTATATAAAGATCTGTATAAAGAGAACTTTTCATCTGTATAAAGAGAACTTCCTTGGGTTCCATATAATTTAATTGAGCATCAGATAGATCTTTGTAAGTGTCGTTGGGTTATCAAATTAAAGACAATATAGTCAAAGTGTCTTTTGGAAATCAACAGAATTGCAAAGTAAAACCCCATATATGTTGGGCATGTGCTTTTGGAATATTTTAAAGGTAGGCTATTTTCATGAATATTCAATGACTGCAATGATCCGGGGCATGGCACAAAGGCAATAAAGTCAAATAATAAGAAGGAGTCCTTTTATGAGCTCCAACTTTGCCCCCAATGGCCTGGTTACCTTCTGGTCTGGAGAAAAACTCTCCCAGGAACAGCTTTTGGCTGCAGAGATTCAAGTCCAAAACATGGTCAACAAAAACTGTAACTATAAGTCCAATCAAGGCAAGATGAGGTAATTAGTCTGGCAGGGCAAGAGAAGGAATTCCAGATGTGAAGGAACGATAGTAATTCAACACGGTTGGGAGGATGCCAGGAACGCAGATAACCAAAGGCATCACAAGATAAACTCACGTTTGTTCCCAACAGATACCACTCTCAGCTTGCATCTCTTTTAAACTCTCTTCCCAGGTGTGCCTAATGAAGGGAATCAGGGACCTATCCTCCCCCATAAGCCACACACATTGCTCTCTCCTCCATTCCTCCCTGCACGCCCTAGGACAGTGGTGGCTAACCTTTTGGGGCTCCTGTGCCAAAAATTGTACCTGCACTTGTGCACTTACACTCGTGTGCCAGCACCAAGAAGGCAGTGCATGCCCCCCCCCCATGCCCCCTTACCTCCACTGCACCTCCCAGCTGATTTTTGGGCCATTTGAGGCCTTTTTCGGCCTCCCAGAGGCTTGAGGAAAGCTTCTGCAACCTTTGCAGGCCAAAAAATGGGCCCATTTCATCACTTCCAGTGTGTCCGGAAATACAGGAAGTGACAAAACAGGCCTATTTTTTGCCCTGGAAAGGCTTTCCTCAAGCCCCTGGGAGGCCAAAAAGGGTCTCAAACAGGCCAAAAATCAGCTGGGAAGTACTTGCATGTGCAGTGAAGTAAGTTTGCCTGTGGCTCGCATGCCACCTGTGGCACACGTGCCATAGGTTCACCATCACGGCCCTAGGATGAAGAGATGGTGGGCCTGGGTCTTCCTCTGAACTCCCTCTCCCTTGTTCTACCTCTCTCCCCTCCTCTTCCCAGCTGGACTTTGCCCTTCCCCAGTTTCCTCTACAGCCAACGGAGCCATACTCCCACTCCCTGTCAACTGTTCTTCTTCCTCCTCAGATTCAGACTCTGACAGGGGCATGACAATGACTGGCACTGCTATATGTCAATATATAGATAAAGAGGCGTCTTTGGTGGCAGTTGAGGAGCTTCGTGTATATAGTGGAAGTATGCATAGAAACTGCATTGTCCTATCATATGAACACAATAGATGGTTTAGCCTCCTAATTCATAATGCATTCATCAGCATTTCCCCCATATAAAAACACTGGAGGACAAATACAAGGTGTTCAGATCGACTGCATAAAGCTAAGAAAGAAGCGATAAGTTAATTCAATATGTTCGTTGCATTGTGCAATAATGTCTGTTTTTCTTTCATTCAGTGTTGCTGCTTCAGTCCTTATTTAACCTTCTGTAAAGAGCAATTTAATTAAAAACCCTAGTTGAGTGCATATTATAGATTTCTTAAACAACAATAGACAATTTTGTGGGAGTGATCATGGCAGCACGTTCCATAATTCTTAGAATGAGAAGACTTGATAGTTGTTGTGACTGGTCATGTAAACTTAAGGCTATCATACCTGGATTTCAAAAATCCAGACACCTAATAGCAAAAAGAGTTCTGTATCTTCTTGCTGTCATCTAGTAGCTATCCAGACATTTACAAACTTAGCAAGTAGTCAGAACGTCCAGAGTTTACTTTCAAAAAATTATATTGCATTTTTTTCTCCAAGCATATCTTTATTATCATTTAGAACTTGACTACAATTTTTAAAACTGGGAGGTAATCTTCCTGGGCTATAAACATAATAATGGGTCATGGTCGCCCCTTTAAGAGAAATTTTCCTCTCACCAATGTGAGACATCATTTTGATTTATTTATTACATTTTTTATGCTACCACATTCCTAAGCTAAGAGACAGGATTAGGTGACAAACAATAGAACCATGTAACAGGATCACTATTCCCTTTGATCTCCAGACCTTTTCACACAACCATGTTTTAAGGGATTTCACTAAGATTAGCAGAGATTGGGTCAATATCACCTCAGGGGGGATATTTGGTAGTTTATACTTTAAAGCTTTTATATAGAGAGCAACATACATTAAAACATCCAAATAATTTCTTCAACACAATTTCAACCAAATCTTTTTTATTGCCAGATCTCTAAATTTAAATGATTCTCAAGTCTTTGACCTTCATGCCACTGCTTGTATTATTAGTATATTGTTGGTTGCATATTAACAATACTACCGTGTTGCTCATAAAATAAGGCCAGTTTTTTGTTTTTTTTTTTTGAGCCCTGAAAAAATGGCTAGGCTGTCTTTTCGAGGATGTCTTAATTTCCCCCCCACGCGCAGCCTGGTGGTGGTGTGTGTGTGTGTATTTACATCCTTATCAGTGAATGGCCGTGTTCCTGCAACACCCATGCAGCCAACCACTTTCTACCCTGTGCATCATGCCAGCTCAGCCTGTGCGGGTAGTTCTTGGTCCAGTGGGTTGGCAAACTTGCAGTGCTCCATTAAGCGCCAAATTCAGCATGCCATGTGGACATGCTCGAGCTCAGATCAAGCTGCAGTGCTCGGAACCGTTAACTTTCTTAACCTGCCCTGCTTGAGAAGAGCAGGGGGAGCAAGACTGCTGGATCGCTTAGATCCCCTTGCCCCGGCAATACCTGGTTTCCTGCCACTGCAGGAAGACAAAGAGAGACAAAGGCAAGCGGGCTGCCTTTCTGGCACTCCGCCAGCTCCTCTTCCCCTAAGTGCGAACACCAGCCAGCCGGTCTCACGTGCCAATTTTGTTCTACCCTCCCTAACCTCCTTGCTCTTCCTCCTGGGATTTTCCCAAGTCAGCCAGACCTTTCCAAAAGAACATAGCTGTGCCATTCCAGTGCGATGGCCATGACCAACCTGCCCTGACTTCTTCCCTCAACAAGTTCTCTTCAGGAGTCTGGTGGTTGTTTTCCAACCCATGGACTCCAAGCTCGCAACAGGGCATGGGACCACCAAGGGCCCAGGCAGCCCTGTCAAGCTTCAGGTGCTCCCAGAGATGCACAGGATGCAGACTCTCTGCTTAAACAGCCACCACGGAAGTATACACAACGGTGCCTGCAGGCACTCAGAAGGCCGAAAGCACAGCCCAAGTGGGGGCTGTAAACTGTTGCCCTGGGGCCCAGCAAACCTGGAATCTGCTGCCTGACACACAAACCCCAATGAGCAGCCTTGCCCGTGCTTGGGGGAAAAGGAGCTGGCGGAGTGGAGCTTCTCTTCCCCCGAGCATGGGCGAGGCTGCTCATTGAGGTTTGTGTGGCAGGCGGCAGATTCTGGCTCTGCAGGGTGCAAGGGTGAAAGCGTGCAGCCTCTGCTTGGGTGCCACTGGGCTGCGCTTTTCACCTGCAAGGCGCCGGCCAGCAGGAGAAGGCACTGCTGCTGTGTAAGGTAACAGCGGCTGGTGGTACCACTGGAAGCCAGGCTGAGCAGGGCAAGTGAGCTTGCAGTCCCCAAGAGGAGCAGGCCATGTGGGCTGGGCTGGGCTGCTGCTGCGCCCCCTCATGCCCGGAGCGAAGTGTTGGTCAAAGGGTGGTGCGCCAGCAGCAGGCTGGGTGTGTCACTCTTCTGCAGTCTTGCCAGAGGCATCTCGAGCCATGCTTGAGAGGACGTGGATGGACTCCATTTTAAAGTCAGCTCCCACACCCTTGCCAGGGCTGTGGTAGGGGAAGGGGGAGCCAGTGCTCTTTGTGCGGATGGGAAAGCGGAATCATCCCCCTCTTGGTGCGGCCCGTCTTTCCTGCGCAAGAGCCCCTGGCAGGAAAGGTACTTGGAGGGAGTAGGGAGCTCTCCATGCTCTGCCATGATCAGCCATTAGGAGCGGCTGGTGGTGAGGCATGGCTGCCTGTGGTGCGCTCCTATTGGCACCCTTCTCCCCCATTTCACATGTTTTAAAATAGGCCTACATTTGGAGGAAGGGGCTTAATTTAACCTTATGCATAGAAAACATTCTGGGACTTCTCATGGGGGGGTGTATTGTTGGAGAAACATGGTACTACTATATTAATATATTATAGAAGGTTCATCTTTTCACATCTTTTTAATCAAAAGTCTCTTGATCTCTCCTAGAGTCAGAGGGATAAAAGCACAATACATTAAATTAAGTGTGCATTAAACAAAACTGGCAAAGACTCCTGAGAGTACAATCTTCTAATATCTGCAGCCATCAGATAGGGCTATTAGAAAAGGGACTAAGGTCAATTTACAGTCCATACAATATTTGTGGTTGCAAGGGAATTCAGCTCCAAGAAAGAGACCAGTAGTGGGATTCATTTTTTTTACCAGTAGTTCTGTGGCCGTGGCAGGGGAAGGATACTGTAATATCTCCAGTCAGAGGGGGCATTTTCTGGTTCTCCAAACTACTCAACATTTCCACTACTGGTTCCCCAGAACTGGTCAGAACCTGCTGAATTCCCCCTCTGAAAGAGACCCTTGCTTTCTACCACAACTGTTTGCCAGGGATGGGGCCAGTTGCTTCCTCCAGAGAGAGGTAACTAGATCTTATGCTGTGACTAATACAGGAGAGTCAGCAACAATAACGTTTTATTAATTCAGTTTGTAAAAAGCAAAACCAAGCAAAGCACCACTCACTCACATCCCAACATGGGTACTTCCCCATAGCTAGGCTGGGCTGTAGCTTGCTTACAAGGAAGACAGGGATCAAGCTGTTTATTCTAGTCTGCTTTTATATTCCTCCAGTTGTGGTTTCCTGATTCCAAGTGTCAGTACATGAGTATAATAGGTATACAACTGCTGACTTTATTCTCCCATCCTCAGGTGGTGATAAAGTTGTTTTTCTTTACATATTCTCCTGTGTCCCTTTACATAAATTAACTCTCACTGGTGCTAGGCTGCATATCTTTAGAAATAACCACCAACAAAAAACCCCAAAGCCTCTGAATAATATATCTGAAATGGCACCAAGCTGGGGAATATGCTTGAATAATTCTCAAAGGCTTCTGACAGAAGCTATGTTTACTTACAAGTATAAGGACATAATTATGCAAATCCTCCAGTAGTGTCACTTGTGCAAGTTGCAGCTTGGCAAATGCAAATTACATAATTGTTGTCATTTGCATGATGACATCATTGCATTTATGGCATCACATGTCCCCTTTGCCCACTATGCTGAACCCCCTTTTTGATCACCTCTAATTGGTTAAATCAGACTCTTAACTTGAGTTCATCCAGAGTACTCTTTCCCCATGGACGTGAGATAGTTTGCAAAATACGTTTTCATTTTTCAACGTAAGTGGTCCAGAAAAATACGATGCTTAAGTCATAATGTTCCATCTATGAACATTCTAAGCATTCTTTCTGGCTACATCAGTAAATATTTCCTGTATATTTGTCCATTCAAGCTATAGTTTTAGAAATAGTCCAGAAGCAGGATTTTAGTAAACAAAATATCTCCTGATTTCCAAATCAAAGATACTTTCTTTGAAGACACTTTCCAAATGCAGTACCTATTGTCTATCTTCCTCATTAATAGCTCCAATTAATAGCATTAATAGCACCAATCATACTGTATTTTGTATTAAAATAATGTCAAGGGTGACATTTGCTACATAGCATCTAGTGTTCCATTGCTATGGGAACTTTGAAACAGCTTGTAATTAAGTTTCTGCTGTTTAGAACGTGAAAGGCCAATACTGATTACTGTTGCAATGTTGAGTCCATTAGCATCTATCAGTTACCTTTAATTATTTGTGTCCTTCTCATCTGTTATTTAGACATCTTAACTAACAGCTTCCCTTTCCCCCACCTTTGTTTCTATTTTGATGTAAGACTTTAAATGAATAGAAGTATTTATTTAGTAAGTAATTACTCATTTCTCACCTATGTGAGAAATATAAAGTATATGTATGTTGAGGAGGGTGCATGGATCAAAGGTAAGAATCATTTGCTACCTATCACTATTGAAACAAACTGATCATCTTCTTTTTCTTAAGGGCTGAGCCAGTACTCACCAGGATAAAAGAAAACAGAAGACGAGTTATATCTCCATCATTTGATAATATCAAATATGACAACTTTGAACTAGAAGAATACCCACTATCTGCCCAAGGATTTGATTGGGAATTATGGTGTCGATATCTAAATCCACCAAAATCATGGTGGAAGTTGGAAAACACTACGGCTCCTATAAGGTAATATATACATATGTGAATATATTTTCATGAAAAGCAGAATTAAAAGGCCAAATACATCAAAGAAAATACCCAAGTTTTGGATCTCTAATATGGTTATATACTATATCATATTGGGTAAGGCAATGTCTATAAGCACCACATGATTGTCATGCATATAGACTCCAGAATGAAATTGAAATAATTTAAAATTGTTAAAATCTTATGAAGTCAGTTCTGCTAATAAAGTTTATGGTCTCCAGATATTTAGGCCGAGAGCACTCAGGCCATCACATGAGATTGTGACAGCACATAGTATTTGAAAGGTTGCTGATCCATAGATCCATATTGTTTCTTTTATTTTTCTTATATGTACCCATTTCGTGTATTCATAACTATGTATACACTTATACTTATTATCTTGTAAATAGTTGACAAATCAAATAAATAAATAAATAAATAAATAAATAATCAGTCTTATTCAATCAAGCACACTAAAGCTGTTTTTGCAATGTTACAACTGAAGCAGAAGTCTTCACTTCTGAAATTATACCGTAAGTGATATCATGGACATTATTCGATAAGTTGTCCACAACAATCATAATATCAGCAGAAAATTGACTGGGAGAAGTATCATGTCGTTTTCTGCAACAATCTCTAGGCTTTGTGTAAACGTTAGGAAAATGTAAATGTTAAGAGAAGAGTGAATTTGACATCAACCAAGTTGATGCTGTTTAGAACTTGAAAGGCCAACACTGATTACTGTTGTAATGTTGAGTCCATTAGCATCTATCAGTTAGTAATTCCTTTGTCCACTTACAACATTATATTATAAAGAAGAAAGTCAGCTCTGCAGTTGAAACATTCTAAAAGAGTCCACATTTGAAGTGCTGGTTTCATAATTATGGCAGAAAACTAAAAAATATTTTTCTATATTGAAGACACCTGGAACAGATTCCTGCCAATATTTAAATGAGTCAATTGGAGCCACTGTACAGCACAGTACTATATATCCCAATATAGATAGTATCATGGAAAAATCATATATGTGATCATTTTTAATTTCAATTTGATGGAAAAATTGTGTTTTGTTTGTTTGCAAAGGAGAAGAGTATTTTATTAAATTTGCATGGATGGAATATTTTGTTCTAGTTCCAATTTAGCTGCAGAAGATGTGCATGTGAGTGATCTAATTTTTCCTCCAGCAGTCTGTCTTCTTATATTTCCATTAAATCTCAAGGGAAGCATCATAAGGAATCATCTTCTTAAGGACTTTATTTAGGAAGTTTGAGCATCTAGAGAAGCTTCAGCCTGAGAGGAAAGCGTGTAACAAAAAACATCAGTATTAGCCTCCTGCCAACAGTAAAGTAAGCTCCAAAATTCTTATCGCGAGAAACTCAAAATGAATCCTGGGCATCCTGGGAATAAAGTAGCAAAATCTTTCACTGCAGCAGAGAACTTTGAAATACTGCAGGACAAAATCTGCCATCGCATTAAAAGTCAATAAGAAATAAGATTGCTGTTCTGTACTTGTATCATTGCCTGTGGCTCGTCTGGATTTCATACAGAGAGGTCCACAGAGGGTTAGGTATGAATAAAAAAGGCACCATCATGATAGTGTGACAGAATCTTCATACCTGTTGTATATACATCATGATGTTGCATGCATGAAAGTGGCAGCAGAGCTTATGGCACAGCGCTCCTTATCAGGTTTCAATCCTGTGGACACCTCTGATTTGTAATGCTAACTTATAGATCACAAGGGAGATTAAAGGGAGATCAATCACGCAGATGACTGAAGGATACTACATAATGTCTAGAAACTCACTCCAGGACCGGAAAAAATGAAATGTGAAAGGTTGGAAGCGTGTGGCATAATGTAGTTAATGCCCTGTGACTGTCTACTGAGACATTTTCACTTCTAGTAAAAACATATTTATGTCATGACAAATTGGGATAATTTTCATGACATGGTCAGATAAACCATGTCTCCCCTAAATAGTTAAGTAACTATGATTAGTGGCTCTTTCATAGTTCAGTGTGCTGGCCAAATATAAAACTAGTTTCAAATTGCAGTCATGCTAACTAGAAATAGTAGCTGCTTACAAATCAATTACATGTATATGTGGAATAATCACTAACTATGATTTAATATTGTCACATAGAATGTAGGAGGTGATAGACATGTTCATCTTAAACAGCAGGAACTGTTTAATGCTGTTTACTTTTTCCTATCAAAATTCAATTACATTAGTAAAGTAATTTAATTATTTGTTAGTAAAGGGAAGGGCACATTAATGGAATAAATAGAATAAAATATGAATGTTTTGGCATTAGCATCTTTTCAGAATATTCTATTGTACAGTAAAAGAAATCAGAAGAGGGCTCATTACAGACCTGAAGGATAATATTAGTGATTGACTGATGTTTTCTTCATTCCAGCCTCTTATAATTTTGTTATTATCACAGAGAGTCTGATCTGAATAAGGAGAAAGGAGAAATTTTAGGACTTGTGATTTTGGAAATCTAATGATCACATCAAGAGCAGATGCCTCACCTTATCACAGCTTTATCACCATTGTCATAATGAATGCTAAATTGTTTCTTCTCTTCTTTAACAACTCTTGAACTCCTTTAATTGGAATCAAGTTGTCCCCCATGCTCTTCTCCTGCTCGCATAATGATAATAGTGACATTTCTGTCTTTGTCTCTGCATGTCAAAGTATGTGTTGGGGTAATTCCCCATTAGGAGAATGAGTGCATACAGGGAGACGTATTTGAGAGAAGTGTTTGAATAATACACACACAGTATACAGATACACTGTACAGTAAATGTAGGTTTTTACTTCCAGAAAGGTTTAAGCAAAGTCCAAAATAAACAATCCAAAGTCATTCACAAGTAAATCAGTCAGTTTTCAATCCAGGGATAATCCAAATATCAAAGTCCAGTGTCAAAAAACAGTTCAGTAACAGACTTACATTAAATCCAGTAGTATCAGTCAATTAGAAGAAATGGAGGAACTGCAATACTTTCCAACAGAAGGAAACAGAGATACACTCTCTTCTGAGATTAAGACTAAAACGACCCAGGTTTCTGGCTCCATCTTATGGCCATTTGAGAAAAACACACCCAATTGTATGCTCTTGCATTCCCCTAAAGAGACAGTATTAAAATGTCTATTCTGGTTTATATATTTCTAACCCAAATACCTGTTAGGTGACTCATATCCCTAACAGTATTCACTAGGATTTTTTAAAAATGAATTAACACTCTTCCTTGGTATATAAAATACCATGGGCCCCTGATTCCCACTTTAGCTGACTTCATCAGACTGGTTACCAAATTGTCTGGTCTTTCCTGAAGATATGTTTGGGCATGGCATGGCATGGCAGTATAATTGAAATGGCCGCAAAAGAGTGGAAGCACAATGAAATGAGTTGCTGAGGGGCATAAGCAGGGGAAACACAGCTTGAATGGACAAATCGGACCTGTCTGCAACTCTTTCAACTAAATGCATACTTTCCAGGGAATTACACAACAGCTGCAAAGGATTGTAAGTTATTTTAAGGAGTTGAAAAATGAGTGTCCCGTGTGCTCCAAAGTATCTTTTGAATCTGAAGTGCCACACTGATCTATCACACACACATATATAGAAAATACACCCACTCTAAAGTTTTCATACATTTAACAGTGTGTACATGTTAGCACATAAGTGCTAATTTTGTGCTATTTTCATTCTCAATCATGTGAAAGCCAAATAGGAAATAATATATGCACAATGCAGTTTGTCCTTCCTGCTTTTTTTATTGCTTTCCTTGATCGTTGAAACATAAGGAAGGTGGGAGCTCAAAATAGAAAGGAAGTAAAGTAAAATCTTGGACAGAAGAGAGCAAGATTGTGATTGCCTGATAGCTCTTCCCTTCTCTTATCCATTCTTTTATTGAAAATTGTAAACATAGCACACACAGAGAGACACATATATAAATTGTGGATATAAATTTGCTTGCTGCTTCCAATGCAGTCACATTTTCGTGCATGTCATCTTAATAAAGGATTTGCATGACATTCACAATTAAGGCAAAAATTCTGGAGATCTATTGATTCTGTTACTTTGGTACTATTGGAGAGACTGGAGTTTAATTGGTGTTTACCTAGGAATCTTTGAAGAAAAATAAGACTTCCAAAGGAACAATTACAATCGGAACCTTGACAAGAACGTAATAAAACTATCTGACTATTGTTGAAAAGGGATTGGAATGGAGATCTTAATGCAGTTTCCCCAACAGATTTTCCTTTAATTTTATTGGACTCTATTTTTTTTAAATGTGCTTTGAGAATTTGAGAAATAGAGGCCAAATAGTGGAATTCTTTAGTAATTTTGACATTATTTATGTTTCTATACGTAAGTCCTAATAGAGGAGTGAGAGGGTACAGCATATAAATTGATGAAATTAATAAATAAATGCCACAATGTGAAACATCTTACTAGTATTAAAACTGAGTAATGATTTTTAACTAACCCAGAAAGGAACATCTTTGCTCATGTTCATGTTAATTCATCTTATAGCTGAAGATGAGACAATGAACTGCTCTGAGTCCATGAATTGTGGGCTTGCCTTAAATTATATGCATTCAAAATCAATTTGTATTTTTCCATTATTGCTTTTTTTTCAGGAGTCCGGCACTGATCGGATGTTTCATAGTAGACAGGGAGTATTTCCAAGAAATTGGTCTACTAGATGAAGGCATGGAGATCTATGGAGGTGAAAACGTGGAACTTGGGATCAGAGTAAGGAATAATCAAAATTAAAAATTGTTTTGATTTATATAATATATGTAAGCATCACAAACAATAAAAACAAAGAGTTAGAACATGCATTTTTACCAGATTTACTAATTTTTGATAAAATTAAAATTAACCTTCAATTTTAATGTTGGCAATAACATTGTATATATATTGGAAAGCTGAATATTACTGAATGTAAATAATATATTACTGAGGCTGAGCAGACTCTTTGCATATTTGGCTCCTTTCATGAGAAAAGTCAAAAACTATATTACCAAACTTATTTAAACATTAGCAAAAACTGTTACTGTCATATGTCTTTTCAAAAAATGTCTGATTTTTTGGATTATGTCCTTGAATATTCCAGTCCATGGTCATGTGCTCATAAGATTTTAACTAAGGGTATTACCATTTTAATCTGTACTAAGTCTGAATCATTGCATTGTCCTCTAATATGAAATGACTGCACTTCAAAAGATGAACTTGGCACTAGTTTTATATTTTTATGATATTAATAGTTTTATTATGGTTTTTATTTTCTTTTATTATTGATATTACTTTAATTCTTGATTGGGTGTGCCAGAGTTTGGCATAAGATAGGGAACTATATAAATATGTCAAATAAATAATATAATGTAATTGTGTTTAGCAGAATATGCACCTGTGTTGGTTGGGAATTTTCCACTGTAGACTGTAAACCTCCAGTTCCTTTGATCTATGTAAATTATCTGAAGTCATTTACCACATTTATAATATCATATTTATCAGCAAAGCTAAATTTTGAATATTTCATATTTCCTTGTTCAGACAGAAAAACTCTAAATGAGTAATTGTTTTCTTTGTAGCCATTTCATTTAGAAGTATGTTTGCATTCACAGGGCCACTGAGCAGACATACCCTGTTTCTCCAACAATACCGCCTCCCCCAATAGGAAGTCCCAGCATGTTTTATAGGCATGAAATGAAATTAAGCCCCTCCCCCCAAATTAAGGCCTATATTAAAACATGTGAAATGGGGGGGAAATGGCGGGGGGGCTTGCTGTTAGGAAGTACTTTTGTTGCACACCTGGATATGGTGCTGCCTGCATTGACCCTGATACAAACTGCCCCACCAATGCCAAGGTCAACATCCAAGCTGTCGCCGCCCGCCCTAAGATGCAAGAGGGGGAAATAAGTCACCCCCGAAAAGGCCTAGCCATTTTTTCGGGGCTCAAAAAAAAATAAGACCCGGCCTTATTATATGAGAAACACGGTACTAAGATACATGGGTTTTAATATCACTTCCTTACTTGTATAGCCTTGAAAATAGAATTACTGCAAAATGAAAGTGTAGAAGTATTTACATGTTTTAAAAAAGTAGTGAACCTATAAACATTTGTTGTGCAGGGAAAATGTTTCTCCAAGATATTCTTGCTTATTTAAGATAGAAGAACTATTTTGGAATTAGACAAACGATAAGATGAATAATATGTCATTCCTTCCCTGCCTTTGCTGAAGCTTATTCTTCATAATGATACAATTTCTATTCCACAGATAAGACATATAGATTAACCACAGTCTATATGATTTTGGTATCTCAACATTTTCCTCACAAAATATAATCTTGTTGACTTTTTAGCAGGCCAGCTGATTTTTATAGTGAGTAAAAGTATTCCTAGGAAGATAGTAAGTTTGTTTTTCCAAATCATTGTATTTAAAAAAAAATTGGACCCATGTTTTTTTAATTCAAAAACTTATTCCCTCAGTGGGGTTGGTTTGAACTAGAGACAGAGATGTACTTATGTAGAAACATGCATTGATTCATTGACTTTTATGGTTAACTTGAAACAGGAAAGATTACCCTAAAGAGGAGTGGGGTTACAGAACTTCTTTATAGACATTTAAAAATCAAGATATTCATTGGACTGGGTATATTGCAATTACACTGCATCAGGAAAAAATACTGGTTAATTTTCTCTCCAACTAGTATATTTGATTATTCTTTTGGATTCTACAAGTGGTCTATAGAATGCAAGGTAAATTAAATAAACACTTTAAAAAATAAAGATTCTTTAGTACAAGGGGTCTTTTACGTTATTTCCCTTTAGATATTTCTCTATAACAGATTGGTTCCCAGCACTGCCACCATAATTTTTCCCCTGTTAATCTCTGAGCAGCTGCTTTACATTCTTATGGACAACCCTTCCACTTACCTTGTTAGCACCTTGTTATTTTAAGAATGGCTGCAAATTCCAAATGGCTGCCTACTTGGCTGCCTGCTTCATAAAGTCTTCTAAATAGTATGTCAATAAATAGTATTCATTGTTATTGTTATGACTAATGTTTTAGGATTCCATCTAACCCTACCCCCACCCCCAGTATTTAATGGCGGGATTTTTTTCAATCATTTTACTAAAGGGGGGGTATCATGATATAAAATTTAATTGCACACATTGCATCTTTACCTTCAGTGGCTTTTATTGTCTTAATTTATAGTAATTGTCTAAAAACCACTGTGCATTTCAAGGCATGGCTGACTGGAATGAGTTGAAGAGAAATAGGCTTCTGATATATCCTATCATTCTTGGTTAGTCAGGAGCTTGGGCTTGGAAACCTATGCTGTACCCCATAGTCTTATATCTGACATAATAGTCTACATTATATCCTTTGTCATTAATTGTCTGCTTGCAACCATTGCACAGAGTTATCTGAAAGTATGAGGGGCAGTATCATCAATGTGAAAACAACATACAGTTCTATATGATTTCCACATATTAATCTTCTAGAACAGGGATGAGCAACTATGCCCCCTTTACAACCTATGGACTTCAACTCCCAGAATTCCTAGGCCTGCTGTAAAATTCCTGCATAGATTTTTGGGGATATTTCTAGAAAGGAACAAAAATGTTGGGTAATGTTCTTATCTGGCTAGAAGAATTTTTTTTTCCTTCTGAAAAGCCAAGTCGGGGGTTATTCCAATCTTCCTTTGAGTTTTTTTCCTTTCTGTATTAACAGAAGCCTTAGAAGCCTTAATTAATGTCTTTTACCAACCTTTTTTTAGCATGTTGGCTGTGACCGTATATGGGGAAAGCTGAACTAGAATCGGTTAGGCATGCTTTAATTTTTTTCAGGCCTAATTTTGAATTTACTCTTTGTAGGGAACAAACATCACTTTCTCCAGAATGTGGCTATTTATATCGTAACTGCAGCAAAGTTATTGAGTTATATTACAATGTAGTAGCTAGCTGTGCATTTCTGGGCCCATTTCAAAGTTTGGTACTGGGCTTTTAAATTTTCCACAGATTAGACCCAGCTGAATCAAAGAACTGTCTACTCATGTGATTCTGTTTTGGATGGCCGCCTTTTTGGCACAATATTAAATACCGTAACAGATTAATTAGCCCTTCTAGCAGATGTTTTACATTGCTGGTTCATATTTAGCAAGTGGTCCAAGTCCTTCTCAGATGTTGTGCTTCTAAGCTATGAATCCTCCTTCTTATATTTGTACCCTACATTTCTCTTTACCAAATATGATATTTTACATTTCCTCCTTTTGAAATAAAACTATGGTGTTTAAAGCTGAGATGTTTTTAAATTTTTAATTTAATTTAATTTTTTGCTTCATTCAGTCATATTTAATTCTTGGAGACTGCCTAGACAAATCCCTGCAATTTTCTTGGAAAGTTTTTCAGAAATGGTTTGCCATTGCCTCCATTTTTCTAGGGCTGAGGAAAAGTGATTGGCCCAAAGTCACCCAGATGCCTTTCTGCCTAAAATGGGACTAGAAATCAAAATCTTCCATTTTCTAACCTGATGCCTTAATCACTAATCAAACTGACTCTCAAAAGAAGACACAATTGCCTATGTAAAACTTCTTATATAGTGAAGGCTACAAAAGAACTCTATAATCATTTTTATTCTGTATTCTCTAATCCCTGTTTTTCTTCAGATTAGTAAATGTCAACAGACGAAAGGGAAAATTCTTTACAAAAATATATTGCAGACAAGAGATGGCTACATCTTCCATTGCAGCCACCAGTGAGTCAAGACAGAATCGGAACAGCTCCACAGAAGGCTGACTTCTCTTTTTTAATTTGTGCACTGTGTGTTGAGCTGAATGACTTGCTAGTTCTGTTCACTGGCAAGGAATTTAATCAATCATCCTTATGAACTTTCCTAATAATTTTCATGACAGAAAATGGCCACAAATCTCTCAAGTAATATGCTGAGCAGACAATTCAACTTGCTCAGAAATGACGTTAACACTGATGGACAGGGCAAGATAAGGCACATGATTTTGTGTTGGATCATTTAACAAATTAGAAATTATTTTTCTAATCACTCCACAGATGCCCAACCTTGCCTATATAAAAATATATTTACATTTGGATAGTGTGCAAGAGTAGCTTTTTTCTTTTTCTTTTAGTTGCATCAAAATACATTACAGTGCTTTAACAGCATCAAAATAAACTACAGAGCTATAATGGACTGATAATTCCAACAATATATCTAGCATTTCACATAGTGTTCATAACTAACCTTAGTTATAGCTGAATATAAATAAATGAATATATTTATAATGCAATCTTATGAGAAGCAATAATACAATAGTTGTTAGACAATGCAAATGTCTTTTGTTTTTGTCCTCTATTAGAATAGGTTTGCAACTAAGAAATGAATCTTGTGGAAGTTAACAAGATCTCCATTTGCTTTTGAAAAATACCTTCCAAAATAAAAGGAGAAGATTACTACATACTTTGTAATTTTAAGTTACAGTTAGATTAAAAGTCATGGATTGATATTTGTATGATGCAAATTGACCCCTGGGAGATAGTCCAAAGAACAAAGAAAGTAAGAATTTTGATGAACATAAAAACAAGTGACTTTAAAGGTAGGGAAGTACCTTGCTCCTAGCTCAAAATGCACAAGAGGAACCACCTGAGAAAAAGTGTCAGGAGATTTAGAAAAGTGATTGTTTTAGAATTTTCAGACAAACCTTTGGTTTATGAAGGCCAAAGCTTCCCA